TATATATATATATATATATATATTTGTTATTTGCTTGTATTAGTTTGATGAGAAAATTAGATAGTTTTTCTTCTAAGAAAGTTCCTCCTAAATTCCACACTAATATTAATTTCAAATAATAAATTATAAAAATTAAAATGGCCCATGCTACGAAGACCATGTGTTATGCATTATTACCTTTCCATAGCATTTACTATTTTAATCGCCAACATTTTTTTTTGAAAATAACACTACCTAGCCAGGCAAAAGGCAATAGCACTAGCTATTGTGCCATTTGGTGTGTATGGAAAAACCAATAAGCATAGTTCCGCACAAAATTCTTTTTTACTCTAGTGAAATAAAAAAAATTAAGGTTGTAAATGTACTTTTGCCCGAATCAAAATTCCTCAATTAGAACTTAACATGGGTAAGAGAGCAAAAGAGAGATACGTCAACCTGATAAAGGGCCTCTCATTACAAATGAAATCAAGTATGTTTATAATTCCTATGTTTATTAAGTGCAACCAACCAATTAACAAAAGTAAGCAAATAAAAAGAACAATCTAAACAATTTTGCCTAAAGAAGCTTTGGAGAGAAACATCATTTCATAAGTCTTGTCATGACTTAAATTCCTCCCATCATTTTGATTTAATTTGATGCCAATGACACGTAGTTGTCATACAGGAGTCCCTTTAAGTCTTCTCAATATTGAAAAAAATGAAGGACGTGGTGTTTAAGCTTCTTGGGAACCGCCCATCAGTAGCCCACCACCACACATTAATAATAGAAGAGCATTGAGGACAGCTTTCTTTGTCAATTCTTATTGTTCCTTTGGCACTACTTCGACGACATTAGCTTTTTCATGTCTTGTTGATTCTACACTGATGGAGAATCCAAACCAAGAAAACAAGCTACCCTTTCAAGTAGCTTCATGCTTAACCTTCTAATGTGGTCATCTATGACTCAGAATCAAGTGGATATGTTTCTAGCACATTTTGCAAAGATGACAGTCCGACTATCATATCTAATCAAGGAACATATTGCCTTAATTGAACAAGGGTTGTGCTTCTATTCCATCACAGTTCATTCCTAAGTTGTTGCTTCCATTCATGTTGGAGATGTCAAAGGTCTTGAAAGGATTTTCATTTCATACTGGTATAATCCAAACCCAACTCAGTCAACATCCAACAACAGATGACGACCCTTTTCCATAAGTACAAATTGTCATTCTTCATGCTGAAGATGCTCTCTTCTTCAACCTCCGACAGCTAACAGGTTTCGTGCATCTCATCACATAACCCCCAACTATTGAAGACAATGATGCTAAAGAACTCGAAGAACTACTAGAACAACTACTTCTTTGTCATTTCTAACAAGGGTGATCAATTCTAATATTTTTTGAGAAAACAAAATTGATTGGCCATGGAGATCCAAATGCTCCCCAAAAACTTGAACACCATCGAGATCAAAAGGTAGGAATTATTCTTGCTACTTAAAAAACTCTTAAATATAGGCCACAAGCTACTCCTTTCCAGGGAAAGAGATCTCTCATTGAGAGAGGACAACTAGCATGTCAAAGAGGGTTGGCCTTCATTTCAACCATAAAAAGAATGATCGAGATTATGTCCAACTCTAGTCAATAGATAGAAAAGAAAAGGAAAAAATGGCAGAGATCTCCTTGCCATAACGAGTAGTGGCAACACAAGAATCCACGTCCAAAGGATGAGTAGGTACTCATAGACCTCCCACCAACATCTCTGACCACTCCCTTCTTAAGAAAATGTATATTGTCTGTAGGTGTTTATTCAATCATAATCATCAGCGATGATAAGACAATCAATGTAAGAGATTTTTTTTCAATCATTGTGTCCGACTTTAGATAATAACAAGTATATCATCCACTATAATCCGAATTTTGATAATCCCCAACAATTAACACATGAAACTCATCAGTCGATGATAGCTTTGACATATCAAGAATCCTCCTACTACCAACATAACAAAGGTCTATTAATGGCTTCTCCAATCATAGGAAATTTCACAATCCTTGACTCATAATAATGGAATTGATTCAGCTAAGCAAAGCTTTATGTTCAGCTAAGCAAAGCTTTATGATTGATTTTTTTTTTTTTGTAGGATTTTCATGTGCGAAAATCCGAAATATCATATAGTTTGCTCTCAAATAATTTGTTTGCATTCAAGATTATCTTTCAAACTATGAAGTTAAACTATCACTATCGACACAAATTTTCAACAAGCAACAAAAATGATGTCTATTGTTATTAATAGAGATATAAATATGATGAAACAATATATTGATCAAATAACTAAGTCTATTTAATTCTAAATTTATCATTCACATTATCACTCAAAATATATCAGAAATAATATTGACTAAATTATGATAATTTTTTTGAATACTTTACAAAAACATTTATAGTCTAAAAAGGTTATAAATTTAAATTGCCAACATATGCTTACATAGCTAGGGTCAATTAAAGCTTGATTATAAGTGAAACATGATCAAAAAATAAATAAGCATACATGAACAAGATTTTATAACATTGTTCTTGTTCAACCTCATCCTGAGCTCGACAAGTAAAAAAACTGAATGAACTCAAACTATATACATTCTTAAACACATCCAAGTTCATAAAATCATCAATTAAATGCCAAAGTCACATTCTCTTCACTAGGAACCCTCCTTTACATATGATTTTTACAATAATAACAAGAAGGCATGTAAAGGCAGCCCATATTCCCACTTTATGTTAAAAATCAAGATTAATAAATTCATTTAAGAATACTTACTTCAGAACTTCATTCATTTAGCAGATGCAGCAAACATCTACCTACAAAAACAACAACAAAATGTCTTTATCCCACTGAGTGGGGTCAGCTAAATGAATCATTTTTCTCCGTTGCATCCTATTGAGTGTCATTTTTATTTAATGCTACTAGATTAAGATCATTGCTTATACAATTTGCCCAAGTCTTTTAAGGCCGACTTCTGTCTCTCTTAACATAAGTCTAATTTAAAACATATACTCTCCTAAGCATTAATCTATCTAAAATAAAGACAACAAAAGTACTATTAATTTAAGTAAAGACAACAAAATAACCAAAATGGAAAGTGTGGAGACATTTAGAAGGTTTGGGAGTTTCTTGGCTTACTAAACTCTACCATGAATCTATCTAAAGTAAAGACAAACACAAAATCTTCAGAAGAATGCAGACGAGTGGGATTCTCTTGTAGTCCCAACTAGATTTCAATCCACCGTGTCATTCTGGTACCGATCAAGCCGGAAAGTGACACCATCGCTTCAAACACCCACTAAAATTTTAGCAATTTGAAGAACACTTCAGCTATCAATCTCGCCCAGAAAAGCAATTCCGCATTGTTAAACCCTAAGCAAAGAATCCGAAAGGTAGATCGGGAAAGGTATCGAAACCCGCCAATAAAGCTGCTCCACCCGTATATCGGTCAACATTAAAAATGTACGCATCATCACTTCTCCCAGACCAAAAATAGTATACAAAAAAAGAAACGATCTGCCGCGCTCATAACAGACCCAGCCGACGACACATCATCTGATCCGCATCAGGCAAATACAGGGCATGCGTAACCTAACTATATCAGACGCCCAACCCTAACTCCCTTCTTCGGACTTTCAAGTACAAATTTTAACAGAGATAGACAAATAAAGAGATAGAGAGAGAGGGCTAACTCCAGGTAGGCGGAAAGAAGAAAAATGGAGGCTAAAAGAACTCTCCCTGCGAAGGAAATGAATCCCATGCTCCAGAACCAAGTTCCAAGAGATAGACGGAGAGATGTTCCTCTTCTTCACGATCCCTGCTGAAAAAATTCAAGAATGATACTTCTGCGCCAGATTCAATGCCTTCGTCTGCACAGAGAGGACAGCCGCCTGCATCGTTTTAAGCAATTACCCTCAGTATGCATCAAATTACGAGTGTGCCACTCAACTCCCCCGCCAAAGGGCCCAGCTATATATATCAAAAGGTA